TCTTCCCGAAATGCAACGCGCGAATCAGTGCGTCTCATTATTATTCAAGTTATTTATTCTCAATGCCCCGTTCGATTAAAAACTGTTGAAATATATTGCGATTTTTGCCGTCAAGATCTCGTTTTCTCAAAGGTATGTTTCGATAACCTTTTTGTTTAGTTATTTAATAAAAGAAGTTTTGAATAATTTTGTATATATATATCGCATTTTACTTATGTTAAATTCCGATTGTACTTATGCATGTTTTGGGTGCTGCAAAAGTGGCATTGAAATATTCTGGAGTAAATTGTACTTTTTTACAAGAAAACTAAAATAAAATTACATCAGTGAATTCAGGAATGTTTACTCTTTATATTGATACTTTAAAACATGAATTTACTCCATAAAACCGAAGAGTTATCGCGGTTTGAAAATGAGCTATTTTTGCTAATTATCGAATATAGTATCAATATAAAGAGTAAACATTCCTGAATTCACTGATGTAATTTTATTTTAGTTTCCTTGTAAAAAAGTACAATTTACTCCAGAATATTTCAATGCCACTTTTCCAACACCCAAAACATGCATAAATACAATTGGAATTTAACATAAGTAAAATGCGATATATATACAAAATTATTCAAAATTTCTTTTATTAATTTACTAAACAAAAAGGTTATCAAAACATACCTTTGAGAAAACGAGATCTTCACAGCAAAAATCGCAATATATTTCAACAGTTTTTAGTCGAACGGCGCGTTGAGAACAAATAGCTTGATAATAATGAGCCGCACTGATTCGCGAATTGCATTTCGGGAAGACCCTCATTCCTCCTCTGATAGAGGATATTACACGACGGCGCGAAGATATGACTTTTATCTTCGACTGGTGAAAACAATATTTTACGAACGAGCGCAGCGAGTGAGTAAAATATTGTTTTTACCACGAGAAGATAGAAGTCATATCTTCAAGCCACCGTGTAATGTTCTGTTTATTATATAGTCCCAAGCAAAAAATTGTGAAATTTCATGCTCAAAAGCAAATTGGAAAAAGTCACGTGAAGATATGGAAAATATCTCACTGTGTATTTTATAATAAACATAAAAATGTGCGAGACAATTATAGTTTTAACTTAACGTTTATAGCGAACGGTCCACTGACAACGTTTTCCTGCTTTCTTATATCAAATTATACAATGCTAATGGCTTGAAAATTTCACTTGTCAAATTTTCAATTTCAATAAGTATATTGAAAATTTCAATAGTCTTGTTTAAGGTAAAGTCATTTCCATATTAAAAAGAGATAAATGCCATTGACCGCTACTTGACGACTGCTTTAAGCTGATTGGTTGATTTTAGATCCCATTGTTTTTTCCACCAATCAGATCAGTTTGTTACAGATTTTGCACTGTTTTTTGAGATGAATTGCACAGAAATCACAGTCGAGTAATATTTTTAATATGCATATTTGTATTACACAGGTTATAGAATAATTAATGTCCAGCTGTTTATGAATGCTGACACTAATCTGTACCCTTGATCCAGACAAAACAGCGAGACATGAATCTAAATCTCGACTTAGCTCTGGTACGAGTTCTACCTTCATGCAGAACGAATATTCTGGCAAAATGCGTCATGAACACCGTTCTGAAAGAAAGGCAGAACAGGAGAGACGGGATATACTGTAGTTTCACGCCTCGCTGTTTTATCTGGGTCAGGGTAAGGATGAAGGTCAGTATTCATAAACAGCAAGACATGGATCTATAACGGGAAGACACGTTGTGCATCCAACAGCTAGTGACCCCAAATTCAGTATGCGGAAGGTAATGCACAGACAGGCAACAATTGTCAAGTATGTCTTCGTCTTCATACTTCGTTCTCAAACTCTCTCATAACCCTCGAAGCACGGAAGAAAACCAACTACAACTTTACGTTCTCAAGCGTGACAAGTGTGAGCAGGGTACCTAACCACTCAACAACTATACCAATGCCCTACCCTTGACATTCAGTGACAGACTTAACCCAACGGTTAGAAAAAACAACCCCCTGCTAGTCTACTACAGTACTCGTGCTTTCCAACTAAATATTTTACCAAAATCTCGTTTAAATACAGGACATATAAGGGCAAATCATCCAGAGGACCATACATACCAAGTGAACCCAAACCCAACTTAATGCTCTAATCCTGGCCAGAAACATCTAAAAAACGGATAGTACGGCTTATATTGTATGTTCTGTCAGCATGATACCCCTTACCATTCAATTAAGCCTGCATGCTAGTGTTGTAGACCAAGGGTTAGATTTAGGGACAGTAGCTACTCTAACTTGTACTGTAGCTGGTTCTCTCTTGTGCTTCAAGGCAGAGGCTTTTGCTTTAGGTCGGCCGGTATCCCTTTCTCACCAAAAACTAACAAACCAAACCACACATCTCGACATCTGTACATGCACCCTACCATACTTTAATATCAACTTACTCTCTAAAGACTACTCCCTCGAGTTTCTTTTTGGACAAAGGACTTGTCAATGCTCCAACTCGCAGCTGCATTGTTTTTCCTTGCACAAGTAACCCACCAGTTGGCTCGATGCACCGTTCTGCTGACTCGGGTCGTTGTTCTTCAGTGTTTTCAGGAAATGCTTGAGATTCCTGTATAAAGGATTCTTGTAACAACGACTTGAGATTTGTGCTTCTCTTATCTTCTTTTTCTGGGGCTTTGGGTGAATAAAGAGGGCGGGCTATAGGTGTGTTGTGCGTCGTACGATCATAGATGCTGAGTCTAGGTAGGCTGGTGGCCGGAGCAAACATTATTGGGGATTGACCAATCAGGAAGTTGTGTAACATGTTGGGGGATTTTGAATCCGGACGCTTGGAGTCACTTTTTTCACTAAATAATAACAGTCAATGTTTAATAATCGCATTCTTGAAATGACAGATTAACACAACCAGGGGTCAAAATTCCCGCTATTCCGAATATACTAATATGCCTGACGGAATAGTAAACTTGATGATCACAGTATTCCGTTTGTATAGTTGAAAAAATTGTGGTACCAAATATCGACATGCAAGGGTTTTTCTCTTGTATAATATATCACTTTATACCGGACTTTGAGTCACTGTTCCACTTCGTAGCTAAGTTCTTGTTCGCTTGCAATACTTGCATATTCCAATTTCTTTGCACGAATATTATTGTTGATTTCAAGTCACTTTTCAACGCGCGGTTTCCAAGTTCGTTGCGAACTCGCGGTTTCCAAGTTCGTTGCGAACTTGCCAATTACGTTTCCAAGTTCGGAAATTGGGCGCGAACTTCGCAACAAAGTTCATTTCAGTGTTTGAACTTTGTTTTTTTATTAATAATTTGTTCATGACTGTACAGAGCAATGCACTGTACAGTCATGTTTATTTTTTGTTATTCAATTATTCAGTTCACTTTAGGAGTCTCAAGGATGATTTCACGAAAATCAGAACATTAACGCGGACTCTGCATGAACAGAAACAGTACATTAAGGAATAGTGGATTTTCAGACGGAATAGTAAATATAAAAATCTACTATTCCGGCTGTATAGTACAAAAAAATTTAAATTTCGACCCCTGGTTGACAACCAGATTCTGATTGGTTGAGAAACTGGAAAAGTACTTGATTATGCCGCAGCCGATAGAGAACACCGAAGTTTGCACGGGTATATTATACCGGTACAGTTACTCGTAACGTCCTACATGCAGCAGTTTTCAGACTGCATGTAAGCTTTCAACATGACATAATCTTTCAAGATCTTGCAAAGATTTAACTATTAAGGATTTAAGGTATTGGCATGATTTTTCAAAATCTTGTGAAGATGTAAAGTTCTACAGATCTTGCCATGACTTTTCAAGACTTTGACAGATATAACTACAGATTAAGATTACTAAGGCTACTTCCGCATCAGACGTCGATCAGCGCCCTCGTTGCACCGCCCTACATAGAAGCGTCCTGATCTTTGGATACGTATTGAAAACCATAGCGAATTAGTATTTTATTTTGAAAACCATTACAAGGTATTTGTGTGAAATCAATTCTGACACCACTGATGTCAGCAGTTTTGAGGTAATGTAAGGCACCACCGTTTACACAGTTTTGATGTACCGTACTGCCTGTCTGTCTCAGTCCCAAATTTGAGAGCATATAATTATATGCACCGCGAAATACCACTTCTTATAATCACTGTTCTTGTGTGTATAATCTGTATCATTATGGCCAATTTACAGTCACAACTTTGAAAGGTCACTTTTGACATTGTTTTAATTTAAAAATCTACTAGATTTTTTGACATTAAAGGAAGACAGTACCATACACAATGACAGATATTGGCCCGCATGAGAAAAGCTAGTTGACTGTCAGTGTAAACTCCTTCTTGTTCTAAATTAGATTACTGGATGATTTTACTGTTCAAAAACTGTCCTTTATGTAATTATTAATAACACCTTGAGTATCTTAATTTTGTACCAGACTAGTCAAGAATATACGGTACGTCTAGACGTATACTAGCAATAACTGAATAAGTATTGGAGTACCAGTCAGGTGTAGCTAAAAATCTTGAATTACAGTATTGCACCATACATTGCATGATTATGCAAGATAAGACCAATTGCCAATAGTACACTGTCAATTTCAGGAAATTAATTTAACTCCAGTGGTATTATTTTCAACCTAATTTTACTCCACATTTGGAGTTAATTGAGGTACAGTATAACTCCACGGGAGTTAAATTAACTCCCCGAAAATAACAGTGTATAGTTATACCACAATCATATTGGTGTGAGCAAAAATAGGTGATATGGGTGTAGAGTCATGCTTAACCCATCAAGTGGCAGCGCTCTGACCCCTTGACAAATAAAATCATCTGGTATTAGATAGTTGAGATCTCAAGTAAAATAACATTTGAAGTACTTAATCGCACATTGCTACTAAAGGCTTAACAGCTTTAAGGATGTACAGTATGGGTAAATAACCTGATTAAACCATTGAGTGGCAGCACTCTCCCATTGACGAATACGTAAAATGGTTGACTATATGGCACATCAGAAAAAAATAAAGTTAGTAATATATTAATAAAGTATAAAGTATTAAATAAATAATATAAAGTATTATAAGCACTATATCTGCCTAATAAAGATGCACTCTGTTAACCCTTTAAGTGGCAGTGCGCCCAGATGTGCCCTACTTTATTATTTTACTGTGTCTAACGCCAAACCATTTTACTCTGCATGACATCAGGGGGAGAGTGCTGCCACTCAATGGTTTCTAAAAAAGAGGTGTTTATCAAAGAGTGGGGCTTAACAGTAATTCAGGGGGTAATTAAAAATTTTGAATTACCTAGAACTTGCAGGAGAGTTTTCTCTTTCCACATCCTCTCCGTCATCCGGCATATTAAAACCAGCTTCTAAAACTTCAGCTGTTTGACAAAGAATCCTCAGAACACTCTCCAAAGCAAAAAATAATGATCGTTGGAGCATAGCATAGCCAGGGTTGAGAACAAGGTGATCTGTCTTGTTAAATTCCAGAGCAACTTCAAAAAGTCCTTGATCCTTAATAACCAAACAGTCCAGCACATCGTTGACAAAGGTACAAATGTTCCGCCTTGCAAGTGTGAGTAACTTTGTGATAAGAATCTGTTCAACAAGTTGAATAAACTTCTCCATCTGTAGAATTTCATGATGAGCATGTTTCATGTTCTGTAACTTGATTGCTTTTCTCTCCTTTGTCACAAAGATGGATTGACCTCTCGGCTTACGTGGCTTCTTGCTCAACTGCTCCTTACAATATTCCAGATACTCAAAACAGTTCTCCTTTGTTTTATTGATGACAGACAAACAGTAACTGTAAAACATCTTAAGACATTCTTGGGCCTCATTCAATAACTTGATGGTAACATTATTAAAATCACGGAGAGGCCTACACCTTCGATCACTGAGTGGAAGTAACTGTACTTGATCAAGATCCACAACAAGGGAGTATATCCGAAGCAATGCCGAACCAAAACCAGGTGTGCAGGTGATCATTGATTTGGAGACAAGGTCACATAATGCTCTGAACTGACTGACTTTCTTGACACGCTTCCACCTTAAGAACATCTTAGCAATTAGAAAATTCTTAAAGAAGTTAAACTTAAGAGTGGCATTAAACAGTAGTGCCTCTTTGTACCATTCGTTGAGGGGGACTAATTCAGATGGACGGTTTGGTATTACATGAAGTATTGCATGAGATGATACCACAAAGTGTTCTGGATTCATCTTCTTTCTTGGGACAACCACCAAGTTGTATGGATCATAGTGCTTGCTTTCTGCTCTGTTTAGGTAGGCAAACTTAGTCGAACCCAGAAAATGACCCTTCACAAATCTTTCGACAATTTCTCTCCCTGTCAATGGACGTTTCACAGCTTTTTCTTCTCTGGCGTCTTTTTTGTCTTGAACACACTTTTTGTTGGTAGGTGATATTTCATCAATGAGATGCAGCCCAGAGGTTCTAGGACTAACAACCCCGGGGAGCATCTCTGCTAGGTCAGTATTCAAAGCAGTAGCTGTAATGCCCAACGGTCGTCCCCATGATGCCTCCCGAAGACCAATCTCATATACAACAAATGGAAGAGACTTTCGTAAATCATTGATATTCAGTTTATTGCTTGGAAACACATGTTTTATATTTACAACATTATCATCAAAGATCTCCTCTGGTGGGGAAATAACAGCTCCTTTTGGGACACTAATGCCTTTCTTCTCCCGAATTTTCTTGGCTGGCAAGCCAATTCCAGCTTCAAGGTCTTGAGTACCAGATGGAAATTTGACTTTTCGATTGATTGCTGAAGTACAGTCATCTTGTAATTTGGATATTTGCTGCGGAAATGCTAGGACAAGTGCGTTTAAATCAAGACCACAGTCTGGTTTTTCACAAACGTGATGGTATGTACGTTCTACATAGTGCATCAATTGAGCATTTCCTTCAATGAGAGAGGAATAAGGCTGTATAATCTGCAGGACCTCGTTAAAAGATTGCCACATATCTGGCAAATCATTCTGTAAGCTAGACACAAAACCGTGGACGACCTTCTGTATGAGATCCTCAAGGAAGGCATCGGAAGTGTCACCAGGTACTTTAACACTTTCACTGCTAGCTTGAACAGTTTGAGATTCAATTCTCGCTTGCTCGTTCATTTCGCCGGTTATATAAACATTTAAACTTGGTTAATTAATCCAAATATATAGTTCAAAGTCATAACAATATACATCAGTTCTATTCTTGTCACCAAAGATGTATAAATTGTAGTTTAGTTTTCCAGCTCGAGCCTTGAGGATACTTTTGAGTTTGGCGCGTCCAAACCTTGTTTCCTGTTTTTAAAGTACAATGTAGTGTGATGTGATTGCTGTATAGCAATTCATATAAAAACCCAAGAATATATAAAAATAAATGCTAGCCATTTGAAGTTTCAGAAACACAAGAAAATACTTCTATTTTTTCAAATCTACAAAAGTCTCGCGAATCGGCCATTTTGATTCATCGTCGTCAAAGCAACCAGTGAAGTCTTTGTATTTTTCATGCCTTCCCCCCGTCACAGAGTAGATAAGACATATGTCTCTACTCTGTGCCCCCGTGCATCGACATGCAAAAAATAAAAATCCGGGGGGTAAACCGTTCATGCAATGCTAATCAATGGTAGAAAATAAAGTGATCACTTTTATACATGAACGTTCTATTGTAGAACTCAAGTTATATACAATTGATTGCTAAACAAACAAAATTTGCAAGACTTATAGTAACTGCTGTGTTCTGAGAGAAAAATATGAGTTTTAGTTTTGTGAAATACAAGAGTCATGTTGAAGATGGAGACACTGTCATTTTATACATGGTATCACTTTAATTTATACCAATTTAATATTTGTTAATAATTTACATGGGTGGGTTGACTACAAAATTTTTGTAGTTCGCTATAACTACAGCTACTTCAAAAATATGTAGTCAGCTACAACTACTGCTACTTTTGAACAAAGGTAGTTCGCTACTGACTACAGCTACTGCTTAAAAAATGTAGCGAACTATTTCACTATTTCGCTACACTATATTTTTTTAGTTTTACTATATTTGGAGCATCTACTAACTCAGGCTGTAATGCAATCTATAACAAATCGACTTACGAGTAGCAACAGTAAACACAAAGCAACATTTTTGTAAGCACTACAGTGTTCAGGAGTGCAAATTGAGTATTGATTTTAAACAAATCGTGTCTCAATATCATATGCTATTCTGTCAAGTTACTAACAATTTTAAAAAGTAGCGAATAGCGATTCGCTGTTTGAAAAGTAGTCAACTACTTGGCTACAACCCACCCTTGATAATTTAGCTAGTACATAGGATAACAGTGGTGGACAGACACACCAGTAAAGGATTGTATTAATACAATCTGTGGATATATGCATTTTTTGCAATTCATTACGACAAAGGCCAGGCTGCCCGGCCACAATACACCCTTGTGCGGAACATACTCAGTCTTGGTTATAGTTTCTGAGTCAAAATACCTGTGGGAAGGGCAGGAGTTGTTAACAATTTCAGGATATTTATGTGGTCCGGCCATATAATTCGGAACACTTAGTCATACATGATAAAAAAATATTGTGTCACACTGTACGTCACAATTAAGGGAAGAAAAAACTAACTTTTGAATATCCAGCTAATGCCTCATCTGAAAGTTTTGTTTCTTTAAAAATGTCTCTATTTCAGTGCTTGAACTGTTATCCATATTGAAAACAACTTATTTTGAAAAACATCCAGCATGCATATGAGGTTGGAAAACGTCGAGATAATGTTGCTCGATCGTCCCAAGTTTCCTGCAGCGCGAACCACACTGCAAGCCGAGATGCCCGTCTCTCAGGCAGCAATTTGTTGTCAAATTCCCATCTCCAAATTGAATCGTCATTGAATATTCAGTAAAGCATTGATTGAGCAATCGTGGAACAAGCCTGAGACAAATTTGTTGAAGATCCCTAACACGGAAGTGGAGTGTTTGTTCGTTCATGAAATGTTAAAATAGATCAATGATACTGTATCTAACAGTATGTCATAATAGTTATTTAATAATATTTATATTAATTTTATATTATACATTTTAGGGCCGAACAAAACAGGATGCCGTACAAATCAAGAAGGGTTCTGTTTTGGACACTAAATTTGGACAATTTCCTCATAGCTATTTGATTGGGCAGGAATACGGCACAAAGGTACGTACTTTATTCATTGTTTGTATACAGTGTATAGATCATTCCATACTTAGTGAGCTAATAACGTGCATGATTGACACAATTATTTAATTACCTCAAATAATTAGAGACTGACTGAGATAAAATCTTGTTAATTCGTTGAACGTTTGAATAATTGAATTAGTACGTCATTGCAAAATGCTTGGTTGTTGTTTTTATGCATCGATTGATTAAGTAAATAATTAGTCGATTAAGAAGTTAAATGACCGATGTATTGATTGTTTAATTAAACGATTGATTAATTGATTGGTTAATTGATTAGATCAATGTTTAATTGTTTGATAAAGTAATTAGTTGATTATTTGATTAGTTACAGTATAAGATTAGTTAATTGGTTAGATAATTGGTTAATTACTTGATTAATGGATTATTTAAATGTTGGTTGATTAATTAGCCTTTCTCACAAAGGCTGATATGCGCCATTTTTTTGATACTTTGTCAAACAATCTAAACAAGCGACTTTCAAGGTTGGAAATCTACAGTAAATTTATCTCAAACACATACTGTACAGTACCACTGATGGTGTCGTGATCACCATGTTTGCCTTTCAAGCTGGGAGACCCTGGTTCAATCCTTGGTCATACAGGTCTCTACTCAAGGTCTTCAAATAATTAAGGAGAAAGTGCTACGACGATACGTACGGACCTTTACATTAGCACATTTGCCAACCCTCCCGCATCCTGCGGGAGGCTCCCGCATTTGATCACTTTCCCCGCAAATTTCCCGCATTGACTTTTCCTCCCGCATTTTGAAAAATCCTCCCGCTTTTTCCCGCAAACATAAAAAATTGTAAAATGCAGACAGGGCCGGGGGAGGACACCCCCCCCCCCCCAATAAGTGCTCACATGAGCAATTTCAGGTAATTTCAGGTAGATTTGCAGAAGAAATTCAGGTAAAGTGACACAAAATCAGGTATTTCCTAGGACAAGGGAAAGTTAATTTACCAAAAAATAACTGTCAATTTGGAAAAAAATGAGGTATATGTACAAAAATGTTAGAAAATTTCGGAATTTTAGAGAAATTAATTTGATAAATGAAGAAAATTTGAGATGAGCGGAAAATTTTTTTTATCTGGCGAAAAATTTTGGTACGTCCGTAAAATTTTTTTACCCCCAAAATGGTACACTGACCGAAATTTTTCTGGCGACGGGGGTGGAGGGTGGGGGAGAGGTCGCCAAAAATAATTTTTCCCAAAAAAATATTTACTGCGCTATAAACTCCCGCATTTTTATTTTAAGAAGTTGGCAACTATGCATTAGCGAGTTTTAGATTGACGTTTACGGCAAACGTCAAACCGCTGACAAAGTTTTTGATTTTACAACTCTATTTTATAATAACAGCTTTTACACCAGTTTTAAAATATATTAAACAATTATTAAACTTGTGTTCTTTAGCAATGATTTAAGAAAGCAAGTTGACCACTAGTCACGTATTCACAAAAGCTGTAAATTTAGATCTGGCGTTTGAAATTGATGTTTGGCGTATAAATTTTATGCTTGAACTGCTACGAGGGCTTGTAGTCGTTAAAGCATGAATTTTATACGCCGATCGTAAACTTCAAACGCTAATGTCCTAATCTTAATTTACTGCTTTGGTGAATACTTGATGTCTAGTGGTTAATTTGTTTTCTTGAATCATTGTTATATATCACAAGTTTAATAATTGTTTAAAGTGGCTCGTTACAGTTTTCAAAAATTCAGGTGTTTAACACTTTGACATGTTCAAATTACGCATTTTTAGGATTTATTCAGCAGATATTGGTTTTTTTATATATTTTGATACCTCTACTTTCAAATTATATTTGTTATAGTAACAGATAGTTCGTTGCTATGACGACATACGTGTACGAAATTCACTACAAAATGGCCTATCGTCTCGGATAGTTGGGAAAAAAGCACGGTGACCCCCAATTTTTTTTCGTAACAATTAGCAAAATATAAAAAAAAATCTGTAATGCCATTTTTTTGGAAAATGCGAAAATGTCATATTCTTCTGTAAAATTTTTTTGGCATTACAGATTATTTTAATTTTTTGTATGATGAAAGGTTTTAGCGGTGCAATACTGCGTGCAAAATTTGAACATAGGTCACCCGACAAAATAAAGAGGTATAGCACATTATTTTTCTAAAATGGAAAATTCTAATGACGTCAGCAATTGACATAAAACGCTATAGAACACGCGCAATGGCGTGATATGGCGCGAGCAACTACTCACGTCAGGTCATTTTGGAAGTTCTTTCATTTTGTTAATCAGTTTCCGCGACCTGCGCGTAAAAATTGTAATCCGGTTTTGTAATCATTAAAATTTTGTAATCGTAAAAATTGTAATCCGGTTTTGTAATCATTAAAATTTTGTAATCGTAAAAATTGTAATCCGGTTTTGTAATCATTAAAATTTTGTAATCGTAAAAATTGTAATCCGGTGTCCCAGGATTTTCGCCCCCCCCCCCTACAATTTCGCCCCCCGGGGGGCGAAATTCCTAGGAATATCGCCCCCCCTGGGGGGCGAAAATCCTAGGAAATTCGCCCCCCTTTAGGAAATTCGCCCCCCTTTTAGAAACTTCACCTTTTCTTTAGGATTTTTGTCCTCCGTTCAAAATTTCGCCCTTCCTAACAGTTGCATGGGATAATTATTACATGGCTTTAGTCATTTGAAATCAGTATCAATTCAAAACTGTTAAGACAGAGCTTGAAATAACAACCGATCAATGATCGGCATGGAATTGCTTATGATCGGCGGAAAAGCAGGGTTTCGGTTTACAACCTGAAAAAATCAGGGAAAGTCATGATCGAGAACTTTGGGAACGTTATTTCAAGCCCTGTAAGAATACAAATTTACAATTACATGTATCGAAAGGACTTACACAGTTCACAGTTAATAAATAAGACTTATGACGCTTCACAGCACACCATGCCTATTTTGCATTTTCAGTGTTAATCCTTAAACTCATTGTTAAAAAGTAATCACCGTGGTGATTATTGTAATTATTGTTATTGTTTTGCATCCACATTTTGTCGTTATCGGAAAATGTATGGCTTACAAATTGTCACTATTTTTTAGTGGCATTATTTCAATATAGTCTGTAAATTTCAGAAGCGAAGGGTAGAACTTGCCAATAAGCAATACTCCAATAATATAAAGACAAAAAAACTTTTAGTTTTGCAGAGTTACATTCTCGAATGTTTAAGGCACTAATAAAATCAAAATATCATGAAATTATTTGAATAAACCACACCACATATATATATATATATATATATATATATATATATATATATATATATATATATATATATATATATATGATATTTGTGGTGTTACTCTGAGTGTATATCCACACCGGGCGAGCTTGAAATATTTGCCCGGCCACGGTGGGATTCGAACCTACGACCTTTGGAATACTACAAGGTCTAGTATTCCAAAGGTCGTAGGTTCGAATCCCACCGTGGCCGGGCAAATATTTCAAGCTCGCCCGGTGTGGATATACACTCAGAGTAACACCACAAATATCATATTCACCTGAGTACACTACACCAACACAAAAAAAAAAAAAAAATCATAATATATATATATATATATATACAGGGTGTATAAAAAAAAACGCAACCTCGGAATTTCCCAAGAAATCGACATGGTTTTAAAGACAAAAATTTTAGACGCCTGGGAATTTAAAATAGCACAACTGTCAAAATCATTGCACACGCGAGTGCATAAAGCAAAATTTATGCATTTATTTAATGCACAACAACAGTAATAAGATCTATTAGCAATTCGATTTCAATTCCCAGGGGCTTAAAATCTTTTATGCTTAAGAATTGCAAAGTGAGTTCTTAGGAAATTCCGAGGTTGCGTTTTTTTTATACACCCTGTATAATGCAATTTTCTTTGCGGAAGTTAAAAATCAAGATTACATCACTGACACTGACACTGACATGGAAAGTTGACAATTCAATAGACAATAGTCAATACGCTTCCCAACAAATTCCATAGATTTTTTATTAATCCTATAGTTTATTGTTAGCAAGTGATTAATGTGGCGGCTATTGCTAACACTGGTATTGATAAAATTTGCAAGCGATTGTTTTTATAATATGTTATGTGAATGTAACTGCCAGAAGAATACGACAACATGATTTTATGCGATCTCTGTGGACAATGGTTCCACTTTAGATGTGTAGAATATGACACATTGACACTAGTCGAAGTACCTCAAATGAGTGGTTATGCAGACTGTGCAAACCACCAGCTGCTAAGAAGCTTAAAATGTGTATGTGATTTTGTCTCCTTGTAATAAATAAATAAATCACACAATACATCTTTTCAACTTGCAATCGTTTTGTTTTTAGATCGAAAATTCAAAATTTATATGGGGGGGGGCCGAAATTCCTAAAGGCGGGCGATAATCCTAGGAGATTCGCCCCGCTGGGGGCGATATTCCTAGGAGATTCGCCCCGGGGGCGAATATCCTAGGAATATCGCCCCCCTTTTGAGAGGGGGGCGCATCTCCTGGGGGGCGAATCTCCTGCGACACCGGCGCTTTGGCTAGAGAATTCTTGACAGTGTCATATGCGTGCTGGTGTTGTTCGAGCCAACACCACTCTACATCCTTATCTTCAAGTCTTCTCAGCGGTTCGGTCATGTCCGACAATAAAGGTAAAAATTTTGCCAAATAGTTTACCATCCCGAGAAATCTTTTGAGGCCTTTTGTGTCAGTTGGGGGAGGCATGTCCAAGATCTCATCGACTTTTGCTGAATCAGCTTTGAGGCCATCAGCGGTAATGAGGTGTCCCATGAAATGGACTTCTGTCTGTGATCGCTTCAACTTCGATTTATTCAGCTTGAGGTTCCACTCACGACATTTCTTCAAAAATGCCCGTTCATTCGTTTCCAAGCTTCGATCGACCTCACAGGACGAAAAGCGTGTCATTAATCAGCTTTAGCAAAGATACTAAAGATATTAAA